ACTAAAAAAAGCCTATTTTATCTAATAAAAGTATATATATTCTTTCAAAAGAATGATAACAACTAATAATCCAAACAGTATATATTTAATAAATATAAAATACGAACTCTTCCCATTGATCATCTGAACCAAATTTTCTGCTAACGAAAAACAAAGTTTTTGTTGGAGAGTCGTGGCCTAACTTGTGGTTTGGCGAGAGATTAATAGTTTTCTCTGCCCAGGACTCCTCTTTAGGCCATTCGGCATGCAAGCCAAGAGCGTTGGTATTCAAGATAACTAGCAGGCAGTGCCCTTGGATATAAAATCTTGGTGGAGAGGCAAAGATGTAATATCCGTCGATAAAGCTTTTAGGCTGTTACTTCTTGGAAGAACACAAGGGAAACAACAAACAACTTGTGATTTCAACACACTCCTTAGAAAATTATAAAGTCCTTGCAGCCAGATACCCTAGACCATATTCTCACTTGGTTTGGTTTTTTTTAGAGAATTTTTGCTAAACAAAAAGTGAGAAAATTGGCTTACCCCCTCCAAAAGATCTGTATTGTTTACCAATTCCAAATTGTGAACAGGAGTCACGAGAAAACACAAATTCAGTGGCTCGGGAACTCTAATTATGGCAGCAGGTGGCTTGAGATACGAGTCCTCAAATAGCAGCAGCACCTGGCTCGAGATACGAATTAGGACAGGTGATCTAAGAATCAAACTGTGTTGTGTGGAACAAGGACTGACGTTGACCGTTTGGAGAACTTTTTATAATAATTCTTGCAGGGCTAACTCTATCCCAAAGACATTTATATATAATATGGACTAAATTTAGAGTAGAGCTAAATTTAAGAGTATTATATAATTTTTTAGCCATGATATGGCGTTATTATTTTGTTAGGGTTTTTTTTTTCTCTTTTGTTTTTTCTTTTTCGAAATATGTGTTTCTTTTTTACTCTTTTTGGTGTTTTTTTTAGGTTTTTGTTGGTTGTTTTCATTTTGTTTATTTTTCAAAACTTCCTCTCTTTTATCTCGTGCCCCTTGAGAAGAAGGAAGAATTAGAAGGAAAAGAAAAGATCCTGACATGGTATACAACAACCTGTTATAACTCTTGGGGGATAATATTGTCGTTACGAAATTCGAAACAAGTTTTGAATCCCGGGGTAACTAATAGTTGTTATAGCTGGTCGCATTGGGTAAATTTGAATAAAGGCAGGATCGCTTAAAAAAAAAAAAACAATAATCCAAATAGTACTGTACTTTTATTTTTCAGTGAGTAATAAACTTTGAGCTTGTTGACAAGTAATATATAAGAACTACTTTAAAATAAAAAGTACTATCTTTGTGGTAAGTAATAAACTCTAAAGCTATTAGCAAGTAGTACTTCTAAATAACAGCTACCAACTTATAGGTTTTAGTTTTATTTCTAGCTATACAAAAGAGATTACTATTAACCACTATATATAGTATTCCTCTAAAATAATACTCCCTATAATTAAAACCCAGATATTATTTACCATCTCTATTATCCTGTTTCTTAAATAAGACCCAGAGATATAACTATATTGATTTACTACTTTTAATATAATATTTTTCAAATATAGTACTTGGTTCTTCACAGTATCTATAAATACTATTCAATTTTAAAAATAGAGTTCTTGAATAAGACCCTAGGTACTGTATACAGTGGCTAACAATATGTTTTTTAGAAAAAATATGTTTATATTTTTGGTACAAGTAATTATTAGAAAAAGTTATAATACTAATAATAAATATTTTTTAATTTTATATAATCAGAAATTTTGATATTTACAGTATATTTTATAATATATAATTTTTATCAGGTTTAAAAAAAATCAAGTTTATCAAAAAAAAAACTCTTTTCAACGATCACTCGGTCCAAAATTCTCATAGAAAAAAAACACAAATTTTGTTAGAGAGTTGTGGCCTAACGCAGTAGTTTGTTTAGAGGTTAACATACTGTTTAGTAGGACTCCTCTACAGGTGACATTTTGCATGCAAGCCAGGAGTGTTATTATACAAGATAACTGGCAAAAGGTGCCCTTGTATAAAAAATCTTGGTGGAGAAGAGGACTCTTTGAACACATCTCTTTCTCCATTGACGAAGCTCTTAGGCTATACTTTTTTGAAAACACTGGGAAACAACAAAATATTCTGTTATTTTCTTCAAGCCATACTCTTTTTACTTGATCAAGTAATACCTTTTTACTTCTTCTCATCCTTCTGTCGGTTTTCTAAAAAATTTCAACAAAAAGTGGGGATTTGATTTACTTCTCCAAAAAATCAGCATTATTTACTTCCCAAATTTAGATGAATTAGCAGAATACAACCATGTATTTGTTTACAGGTGAATATGGTGCTATTTTATAGAACTTGTCTAAGAACTCTAATTATGGTAACAGGTGGCTTGAGACACAGATCCTTGGACAATGGCAGCACCTGGCTCGAGATACGAATTAGGATAGGCAATGAAGCTATCTGGAGTTGGTAGAAAGGTCAAAAAGTAAATTTAATGTTAAGGCGAAGCTTTACAGTAGAGATATACAAATATTGTATTTGTTATATAATTTTTATCAGCCATGCACGGGTTATAATAGTGCCTTCAGAGTTTTAGATTTCTTTTTATATTTTTTCTTTTTCGCAATCAGTATTTTTTTTTCTGGTTGTTTTCATTACTTTTTGTTGAAAAATTTCTTCCTTTTGTCTCATGCCCCTTGAGAAGAAGGAAGAATTAGAAGAAAAAAAAGAGATCCTGATGCGGTATACAACAACCTGTCAAATGATTAAGGGGGTATCCTTTGTCGATACAAAATCTAAAGCAAGTTTCGAATCCTACTGTAAAACTAATAGTTGTTTTAGCAGGTTGCATTGGGATTCAGCTTGGTGAGTTTCTATTAAAATAGAGCATTATACTAGTTTAGGTTGTTATTTTGTATAATAATCTTTTAGTAGTTTTTAAAATAAATAAAAGCAAGATCGCTTAATATAAAAAAAAAAAATCAAGTTTTTTTTCTGATGACAAAATTTCTTTGATTACTTTTTCTACCTACTGTATATGATATTAGAATAAGACACACTAATATATTAAACACAAACTTAGTAGAAATTATATAATAAATTTTACTAATTAAGATTTTTCTGAATTTATATTAATCATTTTAAATCTATTAATTGCCAATATATAAGCATTGGGAAGTTGTTTTGTTAGTAATTAAAACATAATGCTATGATAGTAAATTTAAACTTTAATAACTAGTGAACTAATGAAAATATATCTATAAAATTATACTTGTTTGAATCACTTTAATATACACTTTAGTATAATAGAGCTATTTTTGCTTTTTTAATATAAATTAAAACATAATTTGACAACAAAAATCTGGATTTATTATTAAAAATTTCAAAATGGCTCTATTACTGTTAACCAACCACTGTATACAGTATCCCCCAAAATAATACCCCATGATTAAGGCCCGGGTATTATTCACCATCCCTATCATCCTGTTTCTTGAATAAGACCTGGGGGTATAACTATATTGATTTACTACTTTTAATATAATATTTCCCCAAATATAGTACCCGGTTCTTCACACAGTATCCACGGGTACTATTCAATTTTAAAAATGGAGTTCTTGAATAAGACCCTGGGTACTATATATAGTGGCCAATGGTATGTTAAATAACATGTCAAGACGATTCGAATAAGTATAATTTTATAAGTAAATCTTTATTAGTTCATGAGTTATTAAAGGTTTGAGGTTTGAATTTACTATGTTTTGCCGTCATAAAAATGATCGATAAAAAAAATTGGTTACGTATCACTATGCTATCTCACCCCCTCATTTTAAACAATCAGAATTTTTGCTGATCAACCGATAAACCAAAATATATATATTTCACACGCTTTAAAGTCAACTGGTTTTCAATTACATATCGATTTTTGAATTTACAACCGGTTCCGACCTCTAGTTACAGCGGAACAATGAGTTTTTTGAGTTCTATGTTAAAATTCCGATAACAAGAATCCCGACAGGGTCAAAATCCTGAAAAAGCCGGCTAACATTAAACTAACTCTGGCTATCGAGGTTCTTGTCGGGATTTTGACATAGAACCAGTTTTTTTGAATGACAAGCTACGGTTACGGAAAATCTGTATGAGTCCCATTGTACCATAATAATAATGCGATAATACACGTTTTTCTTCCAATGAAGTTTTGTAAAAAAAAAAAAAGTTTTTCCTATTTATGAACAAGTTTCTTTTTTATTTCCTAGGATTATCGGTGAATACTTAAAATTTTGTATAATTATGAAGACTGATCCACATTTATTAATTCCTTCTGTACAATCTTTTATTATTTATCAAAGAATTATGGGACATCTTTTTTTAAATACTAGGGATGCAAACAACTGACGAAATGTTTTAAATGAAATAATAAAAATTACAGTACAGGAAAAAAAACGAATTACAGAAATGTGGATTCTACCGATTTGAAAAATGTACATCCTACTCCGGGCTAATTAATACATCGCGATAGAATGCTACCAAGACAACAAATCTAAATAACTATATATATATATCATAATTCTTCTGAGCTGCCTGATGCAGTGAAACTAAGATTCTTAGGTTAACTTAAATTTTCATAAGTCATCACTTTATACGTATTTATTCGTCGATCTCAATATGACAGATATTCATTGCATATGTTTCTATCTGTATTTACTATAATCTGGTTCGCAATCTTGATATATAATAAATTCAGAAGTAAAAATGCTACACAAGCCCTGCAGCATGTGAAGGTTCTGATCATATTCTCTACGTGCATAATCACTAAATTCACTAAATTAGTGTGAATAACCAATAAATCACTTCGTGATCGACAGGCAACCAATCAACCAGTTAGGTCAATCATTTTCAATTAGTTGACCTTTCTTGATTAGGTAATGAGCAATTGTCACGTGTGACGATCTCTGCACAAGCGTGATAAATTCAGACGCCCTATGGCAGATTCTCAAGAATCTTTTACCACTTTTACCACTTTAACGATAAAAATGCCTGAAATACCCGAAGTAAGATGCGATTGTGGAAATACACTTTATAGGATGGTTTCAAACACCTATAGAAATCCAAACCGAGCATTTTATAAATGTGATGATTGTAAATTCTGGGAATGGGAAGATGAATTAGCAAAAACTAGTAAAGCACTCAGAGATACCAAAAGTTTAATTTCTACAAGTAGAGAAATGCCCAATTTAATGACAAGTCAAAAATTAACTCAAAACTTAACCAATGGACATTTCACTAATTTAGACGAAGATATTTTTCAAGAGAGTAGAGCACCACCTATTCCTACTTTAATAACGAGCCAAAATGCACCACAAAAAAACCTAGTTAATCCTATAAATTTTGGGGACACTATTGGTAGTTCATCCGGAAATAATGCAGTTCTCACTACGTCATCTGTTGGTAGTAGCAGTAGTAGTAGTATTCCTTTTGAACAAACTACAGCAGTTCTCACACCGGAAAACAAGGATCAATTTATAAAAGCCAAAGTGAAAGAAATCACATTTGTAAGGCAAGAAAATGAGAGAATTAAGCAAGAAAATGAGAAAACTAAACAAAAAAATGAATTATTAGAAAAAGAGAAAACAGAACTTACAGCGAAAATCGAATATTTAGAATTAGAATTAAAAAAAAAAGAAAATGTAGAATTAAAAGAAAAGAGAAATGTAGTTGACATTGAATTAGATAGTAAAATATCTGATTTAAAAGTTAAAATAGCAGATTTAAATGGTAAAAATGAACAGTTAACAAGAACGAATGAAAATTTAACATCAAGATTAGTTTCAGAGACTTCGAAATTAAATTTGACTATAGGATCTTTAGAAAAAGAAAATTTAAATCTTAATGAACAATTAAATAAATTGAATGATGAGAGAAATAGTGGTTCTCGTCTAGAAACCGGATCTGATGAGTATAAAAAAATGTTAATATTAGAACGAGAAAATTTAGATCTTAAAAAACAACTAAATGAAATTAAACAAGAAAATTCACAACTTAAGAACGGGGCTCAGCTGGAGGAGTTATGCGCTTTAATAGACAAATATAAAAAATATAACAACGAATTAAATAACGAAATTCGGACTCTCGATGAAGAAAATAGAAAATTGAAAAAAGAAAACAGAAGTTTGAAGAATTCTAAAAGTAATGATATTAAAAAAAAAACTTTTTGAAAGAATTATCTATCGATAGAACAATCTTGATTTCCAATTGATGAATATTTTTCATTATTAGCAAATTGGAATCAAGCATCTAAGGAATATCTAAAACCTGGGCGCTTCATATGTTTGATAATATTAACATTATAGTTCGGGTTAGGACAGTGAATGTAAATTGTCTATCGACGATTCTTACGAAGGTAGATTTAAATTTTGGTTCCAGGAACCATCGCGATATAAAATGCGTTTAACAAGGTTTTAAACCTTATAGCTGCAAAAAATTTTTTGTTTTTGGATAAAAAATTTTAAAGCATCCTTTTGGTCGGTAAATGATCAAATAGATCGTGACTAGTGTTTTTTTTTTTTTTCTTTATTAACGTTAAACTTTTAAATTCTACTAGCCAAATCATTTTTAGTTTTTTTTTTCGATAATTAGTAACTATGGTCAATGAACCAGACCAGTCCAAGAGGTTAGTGCCTGAAATTGCGCCTGACCAGAATTAAGCACCTGAAATTAAATTCAAGGTGACAACTTCAGGCGCAAGATGTAGTATATATTTGATTAGTTAGATTAAATTGATTACTTGATTAATTTAAATAAATAAATAATCATCAAATTTTATAATGTATTAACACTATGATTTAAAGCCGTTTTCTTAATGTGATTTATTAATGTTCAAGTTGAAGGCAATTATCAAATTACTACGTATGATCAGCGCATTACACGGAATCTATTAAATGCAAGCCTATGATTGGCTAAAATTATACTAAGTAATTGTATTGTGTATATTTATATATATAACTTAGTATTTGAATGTTTCTTTTAAAAAAATTTGGCACGGTCGATTTCTATGCTTGAGATCATTTTAAATTCTACTAGTCAGTAGAATTTGAAAATAACTTCGAATATCGATCATGAGAGAGAAAATTTAGGTAAAAAAAAGTTAAAAAATATTAGTGCAGACAATTACAAAATAAATATTATATATATTATATATATATAAATATAGACAATATACTATATAGAGAATTAGAATTCGACAAAGAATTGAGACTTTTAAAGATTTTTTTAAAAAATTAAAAAATTAAAATCATCTGCTGATCACAGTAATTTGAAAAGCACGATAATATCAATTCACTACATAAAATACGAGTGGTGTTTTTAATTAATAATATATACCAAAGGTAGTAACGTACATGACATACTGTATTACTATTTAATATGATAGATTTTTAATCATTTATTTACGTCAAAAATTTAGATTGGTCAATCAGATCGTATCAAAACAATCGACTAATAGTCAAGCATAACAAAATTTCGCCGTTAGATTATATAGTTAACCAAAATTTTTGTAAGGAAAATTTTTGTTAGTACACAGAAGACAGTTTTTCATAGGCAAAAATTTTGAATTATGGATTATTTTTACAAATCTGATTAGACCTAGTCATAACTTAAAAAATTTCGCAGTTAAATTAAGGTTAGGGTTTGTTATTAAGTTAGGTTAGAAAGAACTTCACAATATCAAAAATTTGTAAGGAAAACTTTTTGTTAATGCGCAGAAGGCAATTTTCATATGTAAAAACGTTGAGTTATGAACGATTTTTTGGTTTGGTTTAATTGCGTTACATCTGACCTTGAAATCTGATTGGCCAGCGAAATAGTAGCGAAATTTTTTAGTAGTGGTTACGTACCAACGTAATTAGGCAGGCACTGCCTGATACAGTAACTTATTTATTTAGTCAAAGATTTAAAATCAGACAAAGAAATTGAATTCCGAAGGAATTCAACTTCTTAAGCTGACTCTAAGTCATTTGACCAAATAATTAAGTCATAAGGCATGACTGATAACGGGTTTATCCGGTAACTTAAGACAATTTTATTATTTGGCAACAATGTAGTTTCTGCCGAATAATAAATCTATTGGGCAGACGAATCATAATAAGCAGCCGGATAAATACCATTACAATTTGACTAACAATTTGACCAATGTACAAGGGCTAGAACTAGATAGTGTATAACTTAGATCAAATTCTTTGCATAATTTTTTTGCTACGTAAACGATTTACTTCATGTTACCTGTTACACTTGATCATGCAATCTAATTGTCTGTAGGTAAGATCAGGTCAGATATCGATATGTATATCCGCCCGCAAATTTAAGAAATTAGTCCTTTCTTTAGGCTCTTAAATTTAAAAAACAAATAATTTTGATTTAATTGTCTGCTTTGGATAATACCATCAAAATGACCAGATCGTTAAAGATCTGTGTCTCCTCGGGATGTAAATCCATGGATATGTGAGATAATACTTAACAATCATATTTTAGGATATGGTTTTGGGTGACCGTACGTACATACTGTACGTACCAACTCTTGATTTACCTATATACAACACTTAGCAAAAAAAAAAAAACGGTAATATTAGTTAATTTAAAAAAAAGGCAGGTCCATTTAAAAATGAGAGTATATGTATACTTTTAAATGTGCTACGATAAAAAAACAATTATATGCATGATTTACCATTTTTCGTTACTACAACAAAAGTATTATGAATCTATTAAAGCATAAAAGGAAATAACCTAATTAGAGTACGCCACAGGTCCGGATTCGGGAGAATATTACTAATCCACTAAAAGCATTAACAAAGAACCAGAGATTATTTTTAGCTAACCGTCGTGATGATATAATTTCTTAGCTCCGAGACACGCAGGGTCTCATAAACTTAATTTTTTATTTAAACCATATATATGTATGGTAAATAATACCGGTTTTCATTAGGGAGGAATTATTTAATTACTGATATAACGTTAGTTTTTCGTTTTTTTACGTAATAAAGTTTCTAATAAGATTCCAATCGCTTATAGAGAAAAAAAAAAAAGAATTTTTTTTTTTTCTTCGATTTCATAAAAAAAAAACTATACAAGTTACGTATAATTATTTTGTAATTACAGATGTAGGTCTGTGAGGAGTGGGCTGAAATTAAAAAAGATTTTCAAAACAGAACTTTATAAACCCCACAATCCCTATTTCTGTATTTAATAACTTCTAAAGCTTCTAAAGTTCGGAAATTCATACCGATACAGGTTTAATAGTTAGAAAACAGAAGAATACGTCTATTTTTTTTTTTTTTTGAGTCTTAGATAAACAAAAAGACCGGTTTGACCCAACAATCATTGTCACACGTTTTTGTCTTCTCATGGTAAGACTGTAATACCCTAAACCTAACTTTAAAGAGCTGAATTAATAATGCATATAGATATCTATATATCGTAGATTCAAGGTCAGTACACATAAATAGCGGCTGTATTAACGTTATATAGAAGGCAATGCCCGTATCAGGTATTTACGTTTATACCGATATAGTTATCTTAATGCGAAACTTGTTGCTCTGACGTTAACTCCAAAAAAAAAAACCAGATATTTAAATAAACAAATGTACAAATTTGAGCACAGCAATCAGAATGAGCCCGTTATCTGCATCACTGCCCATCATTGACCTCGTTTTTAAAAAAAATTATTTGTCTATAAATATTGTGAAATTTTAAAATTTATCTTTAATTCATTTTAAACAAAATTTTTTTTTCGTGTCTTTTATCTTGAATTTATGGTATGATTATAAAAAATTTTTTATTGATTTGTTTAAAACAAGATATTTGTCATTATAGTTCTCAAATAAATTTTATTATCGATTTTATAAAGTTATTTATTTGAATGCTAGAAAAAAAATGAGTTCGAATCAGATTTCATTCATTGGGAGTGTTTCGCTGCTAGTGTCGTCTATGACAGGACCGGGGCTTGTTACAAGTATACTATATTTTAATGATTTAACTTGAATTTATCTATACGTGTTGACGTTCTGGCTCATACTTAAAATTTACAGTTCCACTACTTTTTCAGACTGCTGGTTGGTTTTTGTATGTGTTTCAGTTCTTTTTTATGAATGTGTTTATTAAAAGTTTTTTTTTTTATTGTATGATATTGATTTCATTTTCAATTTTATTTTTTATCAGGCCATTCATTGTCTTCATTATTGCGGCTTTATTAAGCAGTGCTGCTTCTCTGCTTTTGTGCGAGTCATTGAGCGCTCAACCTAAAAATGAAAAATTCCAGGTTGATTTGATCTTTTTTCTATTTTATGTCCACGATTAATACTTTATTAACGATTGATAATGTTAATTAGAAAAAAATCGAATTTACTCGTCTTGCCTCAACATTGATAACAAACACTTATCAACGTCGATTTATTCAATTTGTTCTTTTTGTGACATTCCAATCCTTGGTTATTTCATCAATTATAATATCTGCTCAAACTATGGATTCTTTAACTATTTCAATGTTTGGAAAAACTTGTGGAATTGGAATTTATCCAACAAAAGGTTTTTTTTGCGTATCAGAACAAAGTGGTACTGGAAGTCCTTTCGGTAATAGTTATATGCTTTTAACTTCCGGTTACTTGGTGTGGATTATTTATTTATTTCTCTTCATTTATTCATTTATACATTTACTTATATTCTAATTAATTTTCATAAATATACTCTAGATTACTCTAGTAGCTGTTGTTCCTCTAGGAGTTATGGAGCTTGTTGATAATATTAAAGTACAAATTGGTGCGTTATGACTCTACTTCCTGTTATAAAAAAAAAATATATTATAATTATTGTCGGGGATGATGTTGAAATTTGGGATCTTTATTTAAAAATATAAATCCTGCATATACTCTTTCAGTGATGTTCATTGGAAGGCTTTAGGGTTGATATTTAGTATAGGTGGGAATATATAAATATTATAAGATTATTTAATATAAAAATAATTATTTGAACTAATTTAAACAGATTTGAGAATAGTTAGGGTTAGGGTGAGGGTCATAGTATAGTTTATAGTTAGCTTTGAGTTAGGGTTAGAGTTTTTTTATATTAAATAATCTTATAATCTTTATATATTCCCACCTATACTAAATAAGATTCTTCCACAATTATTATTTTTTTGTATATTTAATAATATATCTTTGTTTTTTTTTTTTCCAGCTTCTTTCATTATGTTAATCTTTATAATTGCCACTTGGATTGTCACATTCATTGTTCATGGACTTCAAAGCAATCTTGTACCATTTGTTGGTAATGATCAAAGTCAAGTAGTTGGAACTGTTTTATATAATTATGTGTTTGTAACTACTGTACCAAGTTGGGTAAATGAGGTTTGTAACTCATTATATAAATTTGTTTAAATTACAGTTATATTGTAATAACTATTAAATCCTTATATATACAGGCTTCAAATGTTCCAATCCGTAAAGCTGTATGGTACTCTGTTTTTATATCCACTATTGCGTATATTTCACTGGGAGTTTTTGGAGGAATGTCATATACAATGAATACAACATCAAACATTATTGCTGTAATTAACAAATCTAATGAACGTACTGTGATTAGTCTTATTACAACATACTTATTTCCTGTAGCAGCATTGATAACAAGTGTTCCAGTATACACAATTATTGTGCGTCTTAATTTGGTGAATCATAATAATTACAGTAAAAGTATGTTTATAATTTAATATCTTGTTTAAATTAGAAAAATTATTATTATTAAATTTTTCTTGTTAACTTTTTTATCTTTTATTAATTTTGATATTAGGAACCTCCATTTTATTATCTAGTGTGTTGCCTTGGATTATTATTCTTCCTTTTCAAACAGGATTTTGGCTTAATTCATTTATGAATTGGACAAGTTTAATATTCTCAACTATTAGCAATTTTATTCTTCCATTTTGGTTGTATTATTTAACCAAAACTCAAAAACATGTTAAAAATGATGATGACTTGGTTAAATCAGGTATGTGAAATTTAAAACATTTTATACTTAAAAAAAGTTTACTATTTTTAATATATTTATATATTTGATTTCTCTTTTAGGAATATCAACTCCTATAAAACTCGAACGAAATCAATCAACAATTTCTGATATTATTTCAATTAAAAGCATACGGTTAACTGATGAACATCCATTTCCAATTGTTATTAGTCCACCATCTCCAGGTCTTTGGCCAATTGATAATAATAGTTGTGATAGCATTCATCATCTTTCTCCACATTCGCCAACACCAAGTTCTCCAAGACGTAGACGTTCTCGCTCACCAAGTAGATCACGTAGTCTTTCAAGAAGTAGTTCTAAAGTTGGCATTGATAGTATCGAAGTACATCAAGTACATTTCCCTGAAAATCATATTGATGTTATTGTAATCAATACAGATGCATTATCTAATCATCAAAAATTAACTGATTCGCCAACATTTTTAAATGTTCCGTTACCTCAACTTGACACTGGAAATGAAAATCGTGATCGTGACTTATCCTGTTTACCACCAGGTCACACTACTTCAGTAGCAACTGAATCTGATACTAGAGGATATTTATCAGCACCACCATCTCTGGTTGCTCGTACCACTTTTAGTCGTCGAAAATCTCCATCTCGACCAACGATTGTGACAACACCTACAATTACAATTAATGATGAATCATGTGATAACGATTTAAATGATAATTTACAACATAATTTATCAATTCACTCTTGTCATTCTAGTGTAACATGTCCACCATCGCCTGTATCTGCATATGAAGAAAAAATGAGTTCAAGCTTTAATGAATCTGAGCGTGTTGTATATGCTGAAACATTTAAAGCTTTTCCAATCTTAACACCAAAACATGGGATTTGGATTGCAAAATTTGGTGGAACATTGGCTATTTTAATGGCTTTTGGAGTTCTTACCTATGACTTTGTACAATTAGGAATGGGAACTAATCTATTTGTTTAATTAATGAATTTATTAATGTAATGTAGTTTTGAGGTTGAGTGTATTTTAAGTAAGTTGTAGTTTTTTTTTGTTTAGTTGTTTAGTATATATATATACATATGTAAAATTTGTATTAGATATTAGTTTTCAAAATTTGAATTTTATAATTCAAAAAAAAAAAAGTATTGTAAAATATGGGTATATAAAATTAATTTTGTTTCATAATCTGGGCTGGTTCAATTTTTTTGTAAACTTTAGAAAAAAATTTTTATATATTATAAATGCGACATTTGAATCTGTGCCCGGTTTGTCGATCATCATGCACGTTTGTGTAACATCTACGTTAAAGATCCTATTACCGTATTCCTCCGAAAATAAGCACCCCTTTTTTGCTATAAGGTTGCTTATTTTCGGGTATAATCTCAACTAATGATTTGAATGATTTGATATTTAGTTACTTAATTCTATTATATAAGAGGTGCTTATTTTCGGGTATATATGAATTGTAGGGGTGCTTACTTTCGGGTGCTTATTTTCGGAGGAATACGGTAATGGTATTTTATCGTATGAATTCTATTGATTATAAAAATTTTATTGAACATGTTTTAGTAAGAATTTTATTATGTAAATATGATATTTATATGTTTAATATCAATTAAATATGGGAGATAATAATATGTAATTTAATTTGTGATGTAGATATCATACTTATTATATATCAATATTAAAAATAGAACCTGTTTCAAAATATATTTTTATATACCGGTTATGCTGAAATAATAACTTATCGGATCGGCCGAAAAATCATGCGGCTAACTTTGGTTCTATGTCAAAATCCCGAAAATCAAAATCCTGAAAATTAATTGTCGCGTGCGTGATGTTGGGGTTCCAAGTATTCAAACCCATTTATGATTAGTAATCATGATTACGATATCATGCGACGCGACAATTAATTTTCAGGATTTTGACATAGAGCCGCTAAATTTTATCAGGTGTCCTAGGAGTTATGAAAACAGCTGTAAACATTAGGATATAATATTTCTTGCCGTATTTGTGCATAATAGTGAGCCAGGGCGTTACAGCTGTTTTCATAAATTCCGGAACTACTGAAAAAATTGCCGATGACTGTTGTTTATTAATTCCGACTCGGTAACTTATCGATTCGGACATCGACAATTTTTTCAGTTGTTCCAAAATTTATGAAAACAGCTAATGGATTTTTTAATCCAAATCGGAACACTAATGAGGTATATGTTACAGCTATTATCATAGTTTCTGGGACACTTGTTCATTCCCGAAATCTTTTTGTTCGTTCAGTAAATTAACTAACTCTCCAAAATTACATCGCCGTCTTCGGACCTTCAGTCCGGAGGCAGCGATGTAATTTCTGGATAGTTAGGTAATTTACCGAAGATTTCGGGTAAAGAGCAGGTGTCCCGGAAATTATGTTAATAGCTGTAAGATATTTGTTACCCGGGTAAACCTATCCTGGTAGATTAATTACTAGAGCAAAATATCATAGACAAATGAACAAAGGAAATTGTACCTTTTCAATATAAATGAACCAAGTAGAAAATAAAATTATAATTGCATAAATTACTTGGCTGAATAGTGTAACACCAACCCAGCGTATGTTTTTCAAGAGGTGTTTGATGTGATCTCAACCCTGATTAATTACATCATGGGTTACATAGTATCCGTGATCTTCGACGGTTATCCCAACCCTTAAAACTGGATAATAATTTTCTTGCAAGTTAAAGGAAACAGATCATAGTGATTAAAGCAAAGGTTCATCGTCACACAATAGCTGAAACCTATGTATTAATTCACATGAAAGTTATACTATACCTTATGATTATGTCGGGATCCGCTATATAAAATTTTATATCAATGTTAATTTACATGCTATATAAGAATATTTTAAAATTGATAAAATACGATTAAATGCCTTTAAATATTGAAGCTTTATGACATTACAGCATTACCTTAAACCAGTAAAAAAGATTTGAAATTTTTCTTGTTCCCGGGAACATAAATTGTTAAATTTATGTTCCTAATAAAATTTTAATGTTCCTATAATAAAAATAATAAATATATTCTCTCTTTCTTTCACTCTCTCTTTCACTCTCTCTTTCACACTCTCTTTCGCTCACTATAGGAACATAAATTATAACTTTTATGTTGTCACTTTAAATTCCCGGGAACATTGAGAACATTAAATCTTTAACACTGCCTTAAACCCTTTAAAATGTCTCTATACTTGATTGCATTTGCTGCATTCCTAGTATATATTTGTTATCAGTTTATATATCATTTATACTTGTCTCCATTATGTAAAATTCCTGGCCCCAAAGTTAAAAATTTATTCCTTGGTCATTTTGCTTCTTTTCTAAACGAAGAGGTAAACTCTAAATGTCTGTTTTCAAAAAATTTATTCATTTAAATGATCCTATTATTATTATTTTTTTTTTAGCCTGGTGAAAGTCTTAACAATGTAATAAAAGAATATGGTGACTTTGTTCGGGTTCATGCATTTTTATGCAAACCTTTTCTCTTGATTACAAACCTTAAACTCGTCCAACAAATATTTATTGATGATGTATACGACTATGGAAAGCCGAAAATGGTCATGATAAGAGATGTCACAGGAGAGAGTTTACCATTTGTTCATGGAGCAGAACATCGAAAACAAAGAAAAATGATGGAGCCTATGTTTTTTGTTTCCAATCTTAAGGTATGTCACATATAAAACTTTGTTATTTAATAACATTAAATGTACAATTTGTATTTGTATTTCTTTAAACTTTAAACAAAATTATCATTAACCAAGATTTGAATGCGAGTCCACTAAGTGGTAAACTTGAAAATATAATACCAGGTTTCCTCTAGTGGCACTTATTTATGAAATTATTTTAATTTTATGTATCGTAAATTCATAAATACCGGGAATTGGCATTATTTCGTATTTGGAAAATTGCTATTCTGAGAATTTACGGTATGATAGAATTCAAATAAAATATTTTCATCATTTTGGTTAGAGGTAGTTGTTGAAATATTTTACAAAAATTTGAAAAAAAGATTGCTAAATTTTTTATGAATTCATGGAATTGAAAGTAATGATATTTTATCAGCAAAGTTATCAAACACATACTTTAACTCAAAATTTATAAGAGCCGTCAATAGAAATCAGGCAGATTGGCATTTAAAAAAAATCCATACTTTAACTTTCACAGCTATATCTCGATGAATTTTAAATTATCTTGATGATTCAATATTTAAAAGAAAACTTAGAACTTAGTCTTTTTTTAAAAAAATATTAAATTATCAAACTAGCTTTGAAATTCATAGAGATACTAGCTGTGAAAGTTCTAGTATAGATTTTTTTTAAGATGTCAATCTGCCTGATTTCTATTGGCGCAGCCAATCTAATAAAATCTGGCACTGAATTTTTTCTTTTTATAAAATGATATATTTTATCCTATTTAATTTTTTTATATAAGGCGATGTTTCCTACAATCCTTAAATCAACCCACCAATTAAAAGATATCTGGCTAAAAAAAATTGGTAATAAGAAAGAAGAAAGAATTAGAGTTTCAGATTATACGCCCAAGTTAACATTAGATATGATTGGATTAATTGGTATGCATTAAATTTAATTTGTTTTTTTGTAATTATTCTAAGGAAAATATATATGGTATTTTGTGCCCTGCCCCTCTAATTAACAATAAGCACAAAATTAAAGCATTTATAAAGAATTGCATGAGGAATATTTTGTTAGTAGTACAACAGAGCTACCCTAGTAAAATTTTGAGATATAATGGGGTGCATCATATAACAATATACTAATGCAAATTTATTTTAATATTTTCAATATTTAAAATAGGATTTGATCGAAATTTTAATTCTATTAGCGCTCCTTCAAAATTGGCTAAATCATATGCTGCACTCAGTGAATCAGACCTTTCGCCTTTATATGTTGGTCTTATAGATGTATTTCCTTTTATAAGAAAAATCCCATTTAGTTTTAATGTTAAATACTATAATTCACTTGCATATATTAATGATATCTCTGCGAATATATTTGCTGAAATAAAAAATAATCCTACCAATAAAAAAACTTTTATTTCGTTATTGCTACAAGCCAATGAAAATTTACCAGGAAATGAAAAGTTATCAGATCATGATTTATTAAATCAGGTAAATATTTGAATAATTAATTTTTATTGTGTACAAATATAGATTATATTAAGTTTATTATAATATTAAAATTTTAGGTCAAAACATTTATAGTTGCTGGTCATGAAACAACAAATTTATTATTAACTTGGACATTATATTATTTGGCAAAACATCCTGACATTCAAAGTCGTCTTCGCAAGGAAATATTTGATTTATCTCCAAACTTTAAAGATGCCACTTTTGAAGAGATTGAAAGCATGAAATATTTAGATTCTATTTATAGAGAAATATTAAGAGTTGTTCCACCTCGTACGTATTGATATCAGAATTCAAATATGCAAGTCTAATTATGAAATTAGAGTTACATATTGAATTAGTCATGAAAAAATCATTATAATTACAATATTCTAATTGTTAACTTTACTTTAAAGTTCCAATACACTTCCGTATACCTGAGAAAGATGTAAATTTGAATGGACATACTGTCCCAAAGGTAACATACTTAATTAATGATTTCTATTAAAATAAAATAATAATTTACTATTAAAATAAAATAATAATTAACTTTTTAAATATCAATAGGGAACACCATTAATGATTTCAGCTTATGCAATTCATCGTAATCCTTCAATATGGGGTGAAAATGTTGAAGATTTTGATCCATCTCGATGGCTCAATCCGAAAATAAGATCTAGAATTACAAAGAATGCGTACCTGCCATATATAGTTGGACCAAGAGCTTGCATTGGAATGAAGCTAGCTCAAATGCAGTTTAAAGTAGTTATGTTTATATTAATTAAAAATTTTGAATTTAAATTAGTCAAAGGGTTTACTTTTAAAAAGACAACTGCAACAATTACAAAGCCAATCCCTGGAATTGATCTAATGGTTTCAAAAGTTAATTAGAATATCGAATTAATATTCTAGTACTATATCTTTAATTATTTGTTTATTAATTCTAAATTTATATTATGCTAAATGATACCTTTTTTACAATAAGTATTAAAGTAAATTCTAATCAAATTAGAAAAGTTTTAATTTTCAACAACTAGACGCTTAAGTTGTTTAAAGGAAGTTAGAATAGAGTATGTTATATCGTATTACAATGTAATATTATAGCATAACATGTCAGGCTTTGTATTAATGATGATAAGTAATTGTTTAGCGTTTATTTTGTTTACACATTATTTCAGTGTTGTTGACTGGAAGCTGGAACCTCACTGGACATCCAGATATTTTCAGTGTTCCAGTGGTTCCAGTGAAGTTTTCACTGGAAGAGATTATTTCACTGGAACCGATATAATACTAGCCAATAA